CAGTGCCCAGAGCATCCTTGCAGGACAGAGGATGTTCAAATGCAATCAGAGGGTGCCATAACACCCACGTAAGGGTCAGCATCAGATGCCAGTTGTTCTCATGTGAATGGCATGAAGAAAGTGGGCCAGGGTTCCAAGAGCTCATACGAGATATCCCCATGGATCCAGGAGGAAGACTCCAAACTTTGAGGTCCTCACTCTTGATCCTTTGGGGGTGGGGGCCTTTGCATCAAGGAGTTCAGCTGGTTCTGTGAATTCCGTATTATGTGGGATTGCCCCACTTTTCCCCTGGGAGGGGTTTCACACTGTGCCAACAGTGTGTAGTTGGGGGACACTTTGGGGGTCTTTGATGGTTTATGTCCCTTCTAATGATGTGACCACTGTTGGGCCCTGCTTTGTTCTGTCACTTGAGCATCGTAAGGAAGGAGGAATTTGCCCCATCTCCACCAGATCTGCTTCTTCTTGGCCTTCTCCCTCATTCTGGATAAACCTCACTTTGTTTAAGACATCAGTCCCAGGTTAACCGATCAAAAGAAACCACAGGACTCAAGCAGTTTGTTTGAACAAACTTTGGTCTAGCACACTTCTTCTGGATACTTCTTGTGGTAACTCATCATTCTATTATTCCTGGACTTTTGGAAATGGAAGGAAATGAGTCCAGTTTAGCTTTGAGTGAATGAATGCTCATTGAATGAAAGAACATTTTGGGTTGGAAAGGACCTTAATGACCAGCTGCTTCCATGCCCTCCCATGGGCAGGGATACCTTCCACTATCCCAGGTTGCTCCAAGCCCCAGCCAGCCTGGCCATGGACACTTCCATGGATGGGGCAGTCTCACCTTCTGTGAGTAACTTTTGCTGGGGCCTCACCACCCCCACAGTAACCAATATCTTCCAAATATCCACTTTAAACCTACACTTCTTCCATTTCAAGACCTTTCACCTTGTCCTAATAGTGTGGTTTAAGCCCAGCCAGCAGCCACGCCCCACGCAGCCGCTCCCTCACTCCCTGACCACCGGGATCAGGGACAGAACTGGAAGGGGAAAAGCTGGAAAACTCATGGGTGGAGATAGAGATAGTTTAACAGGGAAAGCAAAAGCTCTTCACACAAGCACAGCACATCAAGGAATCCTTTCACCATTTCCCATGGATAGAAAGGTGTTCAG